CTCAGCATTCTTTCAAGTCATTTATCCAACAGTTTGAAGCCCAGAAAATAACCAACTCCACCTTCCTCAGAATTTTTATATTTTTCATTAAAAATTAGGTTACCAAAACTCAAGAACTGTCTAAAGTTGAATTGTTTTACGGTTTCCCCTGATTTTCTCATGAAGGGGATACTCTTCTTGTCTTTGAAGCCCTTCTTTGAAGAACAACAGAGTGACATATGCTATGTAAGGTAATAATATGGTGACAATGCAAAAAGTTTACAGTATAGAACCAAACACGCATATTTGCTTGCAAGGACAACACTACATAACCAGCATTAAATCCGAATAATTCAATCTATAATTATCCAAAAAAAAAGCCTCGATCTATTGCTGGTGAGAACCATATTGAAGATATTCAGATGTATTCTTTCATAACTTACCACCAACTTCTAGCCTGTGCATAATATTTACTGTACAGTACTGTACTTGGGTACCTTTCACACTTGAAGAATATGCCAATATGAACACCATGCAGACCAGTTTTGCACAGGAGATTTTGACATAAAATCTACCCAGAATAATGTAAGGCAGATTCTAGTTTACCCTCACTTCAATGGGAGAGAAAATTTTATATTTGGGAGGTAACCATATTTTTTAAATCTTCTGAAAGTCTCAAATGAATGTTCAGTTGAAATCAATTGCGTATACAGGATAGAAGCCTAGTTTTGAATTCAAGTCCATTCAAGACTGTATATCTAGCTTTGATTTCTGGTAGTTTCAAACAATTGTATTTTGAACAATGCTTCAAAATTTGCTCTCAAGTTACGCAAGTACGACATGCACCCAAGAATAACTTCAATGAAAAATGCACCCAACTTAAATCCCTTGAACTATTGCAAAAGTTTGACATGGGGGGTGGGGTAGATAAATTACATTAAACAGAGAGTGAATAATCTACAAAAATAACGGCCAAGACTGACGGAATTCTCACAGGTTTCAGACAGAACATGAAAAACTGCACCTCTGGGGGATTCACCCTATAATCAATTATAGTTCACGGAAATGCATACGCGACGTTTCAACTTTTTGACTTTCACCCCGGAAATTTTATGCTTTTCTCCACAAGCATTTTTTTCGAGTATTCCCATCTTTGTATGCATTAAAATCCTCCCTGACAATCACTGCTTGAAAAATAGCCACACGTGCGGCTTGAAAGCATATTATTAGAGGACTGTATATTTGTGATGCTTTCATTAGTCATGCATCCATCAAACCGTACAAGACAATGTGAACACACCCAGAATGCTTCAATAACTAATTTTGATTAAATATTCATCCTTTATTTTTTGGTAACTTTTCAATTGTATTTTGAGGGCCAGAAAGAGATTAACTGGGTTTCTATTGAAGTTTATGGGATAATCAAATTTGGTTAACAAACTTTTGTCTGGACCAATCAAGATCACTTAATGAGGGTCCACCTAAAAAAAACTGTACAGTGTAACCCAAAGATGTGGACATAATTGGTGCTTGGACCTTGACTCTATGTTTAAGCATTCATATGTTTGTGTTTCCTCATAGACTTCAATAGTAACATATTTAATTGGTTACCTGTCTATTGAAAAAAATAAGAACACAGTGCCCAAAAATCGAATAATTTATTCACAGCTTTGAATAAGGCGCATAAAATTAATGTACAGAACAAAACACCCAAATATGGTTTTCTTCTGTAGTTTTGGCATCAGGATGAGCCAAAAAAGCAAAGAACCTGAACAAGTCTTGCTGTGGATTAAGGTACACACATGATGGAAAAAAGCAAAAACAAAACTTGGCTTGTTTTTGATTATGAATTACTCAGGGTAATTTTATGATGAAATTTATTTTCAATATTTGGGTACCTTGCACTATGAACGTAATCCATTCCAGGGCTAGGTTTGTAGTGTGAAATGTTCTTTATGCAAAACACGATTTCCCATAGACTTGTATGGGAAATCATTTAATCCATTCCAGCAAATTTTAAAAATTTGAATTTTTTTTTTTTTAAAGGGAAAAAATTGTTTTGTGTCTTAAACAGTAGTTTTATACAGTGACATGACTAAAAGGATAAATTGAGGCCTTAATTTAAATTTTAAGGAGTGTAAATTGCAGGTTTCAAAAATGTTTTCAAGGGGGTTATGCTAACAGCAAAAATTCTTTGAAAATGGATTTTGCCTTGAGCACAACCCCTGCAACTCAAATTTTATTCTTGAGGTTTGAAAAACAAATCCAAAGGTTTAAATCATCAATTCACACATTTTTCAACATTGCATATAGGGGGGTCATGCTCAAAGAAGAATTTTTTTGAAAAGTTGTCTGCTTTGAGCATAGCCCTCTTAAAAACAAAAAATTTTAAACAACATCTAAGGGGTTAGGCTCATTTGGAAGTCATTTTTGAACCTGCAATGCACACTTTCTGAGAAATTGAATTGAAACATCATTTTTGCAAATTTTTTGGGGGAAATCCAGAAGAAACTCAAATTTCAAAGACAATTTTCATCTCAATCTTTTTAGGAAATCTGAATTGCAGGCTTTAAAAATTATTCTAAGACAGTTATGATCACATAGAAATTTTAAAAAAGGGGGCTTTGAGCATAACCCTAAAATCTGAGAGGTTATGCTCAATTGAGATTTTTTGTGATCATAACTGTCTTAGAATAATTTTTAAAGCCTGCAATTCAGATTTCTTAAAAAGATTGAATGAAAATTGTCTTTGAAATTTGAGTTTCATCTGGATTTCCCCCAGAATTTGCAAAAATGATGTTTTAATTCAATTTCTCAGAAAGTGTGCATTGCAGGGTCAAAAATAACTTTCAAATGAGCCTAATAACCCCTTAGATGTTGTTTAAAATTTATTGTTTTTGAGAGGGCTATGCTCAAAGCAGACAACTTTTCAGAAAAATTCTTCTTTGAGCATGACCCCTATATGCAATGTTGAAAAATGTGTGCATTGATGATTACAACCTTTGGATTTGTTTTTCAAACCTCAAGAATAAAATTTGAGTTGCAGGGGTTGTGCTCAAGGCAAAATCCATTTTCAGAGAATTTTTGCTGCTGGCATAACCCCCTTGAAAACATTTTTGAAACCTGCAATTTACACTCCTTAAATTTTAAATTAAAGCCACAATTTATCCTATCAATCATGCCACTGTATCACGCCACATCAAAATTGTGGATTGATGATTTAAACCTGTGAATTTGTGTTTTAAACCTTTAAACACAAATTCACAGGTTTAATTCATGAATTGTGTTTGAAACCTTTAAAAACCAAATTCACAGGTTTAAATTATCAATCCACAATTTTCTTTACATTTAATCTATGGAAGTTATGCTCACATCAAAAATTCTCTGCAAATGGATTTCACTTTGAGCATAACCCCTGCAATTCAAATTCTAATCCAATTGGATTGGAATTTGAATTACAGGGGTTATGCAAAAAGCAAAATCCATTTTCAAGGATTTCTTGCTATGAGCAAAAAAGCCCCTTGAAAAAAATATGTTTCAAGCCTGCAATCTACCCTCTCTTGAAATTTAAATTGAAGCCTAATTTTAAAACTGTTCTTGTTTAGCAGAAACCCCTTAGATGCACTGTTTCAATAAATTTCAATCTGATGAAGAAAATAGTCCTGAGAAAGTGGCACAGGGTTCAGCTGGATTTTTAATGCATTTTTGGGATTGCTGATTCAAAAAAATGTATGAGTTGAATAACATTCTTTTCTTCCCCATCAAATAGTAATATTATGTATGATTTGTGTAATTTATTTCAATTTTTTATAGCAATAATTGAAATTTTCAAAAAATTTTCCAATTTTTTAGGAAAAAAAATTTCATTATGTGAATTTCGTTCATTCTATGGGGCAGAAAATGGCGGATTTTTGCAAAAAAACGTTTGTTATGCAGAACGTTTGTTTTGTGAGGAGTTTGTTCTGTGAGGTACCACTGCATTTGTTGATCATCAAATTCAGGGCATTCAATAGAAGGTTTTTTTCATCTACAAACCTTTCTGCTGCAATTTCATTACTACAGTAGTTCAATTTACATATGCATTATTATTGCTGCATGACTGAATTTTTCTGAATGGAATTATAGAAATTAATTAGCATAATTTTTCAAAAATATTCAATTGAAGTTAAAAAACAAACATTTCTCAGGGATTCTAATGTTAATTTTTTTTAGCTGAATCATATATAAGTGCCTGTGTTTCAGAGGGTGATGAACTGATTTTAGAGAAGCTTTTGCTTCTTATATTTTTACATATAACATGTTTATGGTCTTTTTGGGATGGTCAAAGCCATGATTTGAGTCTGGCATCAAGTTCAAGTAATGGGGATTTTTCATAAGTTTCTGTTCTGCACAGAGAGGAGTTAATACATGATGGTCTACTTTTTCATGCCATTTCAAAATGTAGGTCTTTTACCTCTTCCTGGCATTATTTGATGCAATCATCAGTTAAAAACACAAGAGAAAAATATGGGGCAAGATTTAAATTTCAAGATTAGAAACCCAGCCCTTTAACCCTTCTGTGGCGGAGGGTTTTCTCCAACTTTGCCATCCACTCACTGGATGGCATTTTTTAAAATTTGACTCTGGGTGACACAAAATTTTGCTAAATAAGTCCAACTTGGCCACCCAAGGGTTAATCTGAAAAGCAAAACCACTGACATCACAAAAAAAGGCGTACAGTATTGTTCTATTGGTCAATTTTTTGAAGTCCAAGCAGAAAAATTGCTGACTGAATGCATCTTAAAAATCTTGCAATTTTTAGCTTGGGGGTTTTCATTTTTAGGTGGCCATTTTCCATGCTGGCTCTGCAGGCCAGATCTGGCCCGCGGGCCGCATCTCGGTCACTCCTAATTTAGTCTGATGAAAATATGGTGTCTGCTTGAAAGGAAGTCAATTCTACTTGAACGCAGTATTCTTTCTCCTGAAGCTTAAAAAAGGCCCATCACACTGCTCCTTGCGCACAAAAGGTAGACAAGGTTTCATTTCAAATCACAAGGCACGACAACAATTAATCGTACAAAACCCTAGAAAATGAAAACTCGCGCTTCTTGTAATTTGAAATATATAATTCACAATCCATTCTTCATACAGTTCTCCATCTGTGGGCCATGGGTGTTGCAAACGCAGGCAACAGAGTCACTCAGAACTTCTTTCCAAACAACACATGGTCATTGCGTGTCCAGATGATTGAGAAAAAAAAAGGATTGAGTTGCCCAAGTGATATGACGGTGATCACAACTTAATCTCCACAGGAGAAGAGAAAAAAAACGGAGTAGGAGCATCTTGCATTCATCTAATCCGCAAAATCTCCCTTTGATCCAGAGATTCACTTTCAACACCTCACTTAAACCCATGACTTCCATGACTTGAACCTTTGCCGACGCCCGCACCAGCACTCACAACTGATTCCAACGCACATATGTGCTCCATTAAATATAAAAAAATAGGTCCACATTGGTAGCTGATCCTCAATCTCTCTCTCTCTCTCTTTCCATCCATCCATCCATTTTGATTTGTGATTTGAGGAAACCCTCGTTGTTGTCTTGCCAAACAGCAGACGTTCTGAACCCAGGATTTCGAGGCAACCTCCAACAGAACAGCGTACCTTATTACATGAGAGAAACCCGCTTTCACATGCAGTTCCATAGGCTGGCTCTCCTTCCCGAAACTTTCCCCCCCATCCTGGAAATGGTTTCAAATCCGAGCTCAGACCAATTACACAGTGTTGAAGACTTCAAGGAAACCAATGCTACATGATGGTCTCGAGATCAATTATTTGATTCGGATAGAACATAGGGAACGCAGAGCCTGTATCAACCAATACGCTATGCTTACATACAAACTGCACTTTCAATCTTAGCAGTGTAACTCAAACTTCTTGCATCAATATCATGCCATACACGATAATATCATAACATCGCGCTACCTCAATTATGTTGGATAATTCCGGGCTCTCACGCTTCTCGCCGAATCTCGCAAGGTATCCTCACTACGATTTCGGAATTCGTCAACAAATACGAAACGGAGAAAATGTTGGGATGTTTGTATGACTTATCAAGATTATCAATAATGGCCTCCCATGCTTCAGGCAAAGATCAATAAGTTACCCATCAACTCTGATGACGCAGCTTTTGTATTCTCTGACGTCAACAGAAGGGCAAATCCTTTACAAGCACGATTTGGGCCATGGACATTTTCAGAAAGAATTGACCAAAAAACGGGAGAGCATGAGTTAGCAATTTCAACATTTTCTCACGGTTGGATGCGCGCATAAATGCTGAAAACGGCCACGGCTTGGAAACGTACAAGGCAGTTAAAGTACAGTAATTGAAAAGTCTACTCAACTATCACCTTGAACAAGTCCTCACAAAATCGCTGGTCAATTGACGTCAATGCCTAACCCAACCCGATCCATGTGAAAAACACTAACGTACATAAATCATTTCTCCAATATTGATTGCGCATCATTTCTTCCTACAGTTACTTGTAATCGCAACGGAATGCTCTGTCCTTGCTTCTGCTCTTCACAAATAAGCCGAGAATCCATACAATCAGGTAATGGATTCCAATGCTATCCATACTTCGATGAAGTAAGGATCTCAATGAAAAACTTGACAGGTTCTTCTTCAAGCTACCAATGAATTGGACAGGGCCATGACACAGGTGAAAGCAAAGAGACAAGCAGTGGAAGAGGTCCCTGTGCAATTAAAGCAGAATGCCGTATTCAACAACACTTGCCATATCAACAGGGAAATCGAGCTGCTTTGAAGTCTTGATGCTGGTAAGGCACACCAACAGGTACAGCATTTGATTGCAGAAAACTGCTGCTCTTAAAACTAATGACTCTTAATCAACAAAGTGGAGACCAGAAGATTGCCATGAAGACCAACTGTTCCAACGTTACCAGGGGTAAATCACTTAAATCAATTCTTACAATTAACAAGCAAAAGAAAGCATCAGCAAAGCGATCTGCGCTGGTTCTTGACTCAGTGTAGGTTGTTGTTGGGTGTATGGACAGCGAGATAAAAAGCACTCGTCCCAGTTATTCAAAGTTTGTGTTGAACATGTTGAGCTCTTCAAATGGAGTGGCCCCACTGTGGTCCAGCAGCTGCATCATGTCGGACAGTTCGTGATTACTGGAGGGTGGATGCGAGTGACCTGCATGAGCATGGGGTGGTTGCGGACCCGTCATGGCTCCACTCGACGCTGCACCACCACTGCCTGCATTACCTCCTCCTCGGCCATTGGACACAGCACTTGCACCACCTGCTGGTGAACCTTCTGCCTGAGTGGCACCCCCCTGCCATGACCACATGCCTGCAAATGTAAAGGACCAATACAGCTTCCATTCCAAAGAAAGAGAAAAACGAGAGAAAAAAAAAAAGCTTGCACCTTCATTTGACAGAGCACATAGACTACTGAGACAAAAGAAACTAGCGTCTCTGAAAGTTTCACAGCGTAACACACCTGAGGAGGCCGAAGAAGAGGCTAGGTAGGATCCCCGACTGGACCCAACAGATGGGGAGCCAACAGCTGATGCTGGATTACTGAGCTGCGTGTACGTGGGACCTGGTGCTGTGGCAGCAGCAACAGCAGCTGCTGCTGCTGCAGATGGCGACCGTGATGGAGAAATTCCACTATAGCCTGCATAGCCGCTGCCACCACCATTTGGCCTCATGTGGACCTGTGACCACGAGGCCTGGGGCTGCGTTGGTGTTGGTGGTGTTGCTGACTTTGTTAGCCGTGATGGACCTCCGCTTGGAGAGGAGAACCCTGCTCATGGCATGTACGCGCGTTCCGGAAGAAAATTGCGATCATCAACGTTGGGTCAACATGCGTACTACCTTCCAACAGACCTAAAGGTGACTGGGAAGAAGTGGTGGCAGCAGCAGCAGCAGCAGCAGCCGCCACAGCCACAGCTGCTGAATCATAACCCCCGTAGCTTGGCTGCTGGGCGGCACTTGGAGGTCGCGCCTGTCCATGCCCATGCCCACCCAACAAGTATTGCGCCTGGGTTGTCCGGTGCAAGCTGTAGTCCAGTCCTGGCTGCCCATACTGACTAGCGCTCATGTCTGTCTGCGGCCCTTGGTCCACACCAGTCCCGTCGCCTCCTGGGTGCAAGCTTCTGGTAAGAAATTCAACCAGCCATAAATACCGCATTTCAACCCACCAATCCAAAGCAATGGGGCAAAGCAGCTATCCTTGCGTACTAATGACCGTCGAATGCAAAGTGATATCAAACAAGACGACCGAAATTTTACTGGTGACAGTACACCAGTAGAATTTGTCAGCAACCAACGGGATGCCGTATGGCCTGCAGAGATGTACTCACTTGGCAGTGCTATTGGTGCACACGACGTACTCGGTGTCATCCGTGTATGGATTCAGGAATGCGAAAGCCGAAGTACGCAACCAGACCCAGTCATGGTTCTTGGCACGAAACCGGTACATTAGAGACATGACCTGGCCCTTCAGCTTCACCACTGCCGACCACCAACATGCAACAACCAAATAAAGTGATTCCAAATTCCCATAGTCCATCTTACTAGCCATGCTCCAATGCAAACCATCCATTTGCTTCTCATGTGCAAATCACCAGGAAAGAGATTACAATAGAAGCAAGTCGACAAACCTTGTTCAAAAGAATCCTTGATGTGCGACTGCTCCTCTGGGTGCACCAACTCGAATAATGACTCGCCCAGGAGCTCCGGCGGCGAATAGCCGAGCAGGCCCACCACACGCTGGTCCGCAAAACTGAACTTTCCTTCCACACCGTGTCGACTGATGAACTCTACAACACAAACGAAACAGGTGGAAAAACAAAAGACATCCGTCACTGTTGTCTTCATCATTCCTTCCTACATTCTAGTTGAAATACATCGCTACCAACCCTGTCCACTTGCAATTTGACAGTTGAGTGGAAAAGTAGCACCTGTAGTCCAAAAACAAACACAATGAGGACTCTTTTCTAAATCAGTATTTACAATTTTTTCAATGCTGCTTCGTTATTTTTTTTCTTTCTCAAGGCATCCAATGTCGCTGAATGAATCAAAGAATCAAAACTTGTCTTTACTCGACAAGTTCCATGGTTATCCATCGAAAAAGCTCAAGTCGGAAATTCACCATTTGCAGCTGCTGATCCAACCAAGTCATTTGTATTGGGCGTGGATGTGACCTGGAGCCTGCCGATGGCAACTAAACAGCAATGAGAGTTGCTTGGGTCCTCTTCACCAGAACCTCTGTCACCTGCAACTTGTACCACTTTCGAATGTTTCATTCATTCATTCAAACGAAAAAATAAACCAGAAGAAAATACGAAGAGAAAAAAACCCACTCGTTGGCGGCCAGTTCTTGACATAGCCGGTAGAGTGGACAACAGCATAACTGTTGCCATCCATGGATGGGCCCAGGGCATTCCGCTGCCGGATGCGGTGGAGGTGCGTGCTGGAACCCAGGGCTTCCGGCTGCGCATTGCCCAGCCGCATTCGACAGATGAAACTCCGTCTTGGCCCCATGCACAGTCGCATAGATGCTGCCGGAAAAAATTGACATACGATATTACAAGTCACAATCAAGGAAGGATCAACAGTTGTCGTCACTTTTAACCAAAAGGAATCTGCTTGGCATTTCAAGAGGCAAAACCATACAAATAGAAATGAAATGCGAAGTTTTCCCGCATTTTTTCGGGGCTCACACACGGAACAATCCAATTCTGATACGTGACGAACATCACGTCATTGAGATTAAAGGGTTAGTCAACTTTCACCTCAAAACATTCGTTTCATGTCCCCTCAGTCAATCCAATGACTCTTTTATACAACAGCAACACGCATGATGGTGAAAATGGGATGAATGCATGAAGAAAAGGAAGGGGGCCGGGGAAAGACTGGAGGAAATGAACATACACTGTTGGCCTTCCTTTTTGACAGTGCCAGTCTTGAGGTCAAGGACACGGCCAGGAGTCGCCGACTCCTGCGTCGATAGTTGCTCGCGCACTTTCTCCACGTCCTCTGGGTGCAGGTAATCGAACAAGCAAGACCCAAACATCTCGCCCTGCAAAAATTGGATCCAGTCATTTACCCACAACTACCAAGTGTGACAAAAAATAAAACAGAAACAAAACTCTACCCCATACCTGTGTGTAGTGGAGCACAGGGGTGACTGAGTCTGACACGTAGATTAGGCGCCCATTCTCACAGCCTACGACGAACAAAAACCCGTCTGCCGCCTCCAAAATCAAATGCTTCAGTTCCTGATCAGTCAGGAAGGACGGCTTGAATGATCCATCTGGGCCAGAGTTCCCGGTGCCTGCAAAAATGAAAGGACAATGTTTCAAAAACTGTACTCTGGAAAATCTAGACCGACGTTCTCCAACCCGTGGTCCGCAGACCGGCGCCGGTCCGCAGAAGTTGTTCGCCAGTCACGTGGGAAAACTTTGGCAAAATAAATGTATCAAAAGCAAAAATGAAGAGTCTGTTATGCTTATCTGAAATTTCGGAAAGACAATGTCAGTTATAATTATCTTGATGAAAAAAGTTGGATTTTCTTCTTCTTCCAACACTCCCGACAAATTTGCACCTGCTGAAATAAATTATTTTAATTTTTGACTCTGAGAAACCTTTCTTCAAGCTCAACTTTCAAAGCTTTTGTTGACTTACTATTACAGCTGCGGCATGGGGCTTAATTTAATTTTTGCAAGAAGCAGAAACTGTTCAATTTACCTGTCACATAGATTTTCAAGCAAAACCTTCTGGAGTCTGCAAAAAGTTCATGGAAATTCGCCAGTCCGCGAACATTTTTTGGGACTTCGCTGGTTTGCAAACAATTTTAAGGGAATATGCTAGTCCGCAAGCACAAAAAGGTTGGGGAACACTGGATTAAACAACAGAACGAACGTTTTTCCTCGCCAACGACACAGGGAAGGAGTGTGTGGCGTCTCCTAAAATCGGATCGTTTCACAGAGCGGGTCTATCTCCAGCTTGGGGCAGAGTAGCAGACCCGTTCCCCACCAAACGACGATCAGTCTATCTTTTTTGCTCATCACACACGGTTCGGAAATTGACGGTTCCTGCTCTTTTCGTAACCCAGAAAGGAAACCATACGGGCCGACAATCTCTCGCCTTTCTCTCATCTTCGTAAAACATAATTGCATATCCCCTCTTGTCCGTCCGGAAAAGAGAGCAGTGAGTGGGAGCTGGTCATCATCGGGCGGTGGACATGAGGAATACTGCACTTGACCAACCGTGATATCACGCGAAATCACATACAAGTCCAGAAAACCTATCCAACCCCCAAGCTGTTTGCTCGCTTAGCTGGATTGGATCGATCGGAGGGATGGACGAGAAAGAGGAAAGGGGTCATTCTAAAGTTTCCCAACCCTTGGTCCGCGGACCGGCGCCGGTCCGCCGAAGATTTTTGCAGGTCTGCCAGAATTTTTCTGCAGCAGAATAAATTCAGCATAAATACAGTCAACCCCCGGTTAAAGGCTTTTCGGTTAACGAACCGGGTTCATTTTGGGGTGACTGGTCCGGTTAACGGTCCAAAATTCGGTTAACAAACCAAGGTCCGTTTTTCTAACTTTAAAAATTTCCAAAAAATTCAATTTTCAATCAATTTTCAAATTTTTTACAGCATTAAATGCACAAAGATGTTTCCTAAATTTCCTAATTTTTTGAATTCCAAAATCTTGAAATTTGACAAAATTACAACCAAAAATGTAAAAACATTTTTGAAAATCGTAAAAAAATCATCTAAAATGTTTTTACTTTTTGAATTTTAGCTCTTACAATTTCCAACATTTTTAAATGAAAAATACAGTAAACTTGTAAAACATCAGTATGCATGACACTCTGTAAATATTTTTCAACTTTCATCAAAATAAAATAAATTGAAATGAGCTAAACTAAAAAGCTTGAATTCTTGCTTCCATTTTTCTTCCAAATTTTTCAATTATTTTAAATTTGCCAAAAAAGTAATTATGTATGGAAATACAAATTTTTAACTGCATTAAAAGCATCATGAAGTTCTTTACATTTTCCATTTTTCAAACCTTACAGATAATTTAAATGGACAAAGGTGAAAAGAAGCATGTAAAACCTTTTCTAAATCCATTCTTACAAAAATTTTTTTCTTTCAAATCTGAAAATTTATGCAAAATTTCCTTCTTCACCAAACTTCAAATTTTCAAAGGGACGATTTGAGGCAAAGCTATTTCTCTGAATTTTCATGTTTTGTGTTGAAAAATGTACAAAATGAAAGAATGTAAATTTAAAAATTTGAAATTTTTCAATTTTGTAATTGAATGTCTAATAAATGCTTCAATGTTTAATTTATTGAGGGTGCATAAAGTTTGGGGGTAGTGCAGTTTCAGAATGTCAGTGTTTTTTAATTTTCAACCCAGAAAATAACCCCCCCTTTTTTAACAAAAAAAGTTTCTTTTAACAAAAAAAGGTTTCTTTTAATTTCCTCCTCTTTTCTTTCTTTGGGAAACAGTGGAAATTCTCCCCTTTTTTAAATGGGGGTTGTTTCCCATTTTTCAAAAAGTGAAAATTTTTGAGAGGGGGTCTTTTTTTAAATGTTCCCATTTTCTTAAAGAAACTTGGAAGATTAAACAAACTTTTAATTTCTGTATTTGTAGAACACCTGCACTTTATGCTTTGTCAATAAATTAAACAATGAAGCACAGTTATGAAAGAAAAATATTAAAGTTCTAGTTTGATCCTCATACATTTTTTGAATTGCTGAATTTTTCAACAAAAAATATGAAAATTCAAAAAATATCTTTTCCTCTAATCCCTTTGAAAATTTGAAGTTTGGTGAAGAAGGAAATTTTGCATAAATTTTCAGATTTGAAGGAAAAAATTATTTTGTAAGGATGGATTTAGAAAAGGTTTTTCATGCTCCTTTTCACCTTTGTCAATTTAAATTATTTTTCAGGTTTAAAAAATGGGAAATGTGGAGAACTTCATGATGCTTTCAATGCAGATAAAAATTTGTATTTCCATACATAATTACTTTTTTGGCAAATTTAAAAGATGAAAAATTGGGAAGAAAAATGGAAACAAGAATTCAAACTTTTTAGTTCAGCTCATTCTGATTTATTTTCTTTTGAAGAAAGTTGAAAAATATTTACAGGGTGTCATGCACACTGATGTTTCACAAGTTCACTGTTTTTTTCATTTAAAAATGTTGCAAATAGAAACAGCTAAAATTCAAAAAGTAAAAATATTTTTAGATGATTTTTGTACGATTTTCAAAAATGTTTTTAGATTTTTGGCTGTAATTCTGTCAAATTTTCAAAATTTTGGCATGATCAAAATAAGGAAATTTAGAGGACATATTTGCGCATGCAATTCCGTAAAGTATTTGAAAATCGGTTCAAAATTCAATTTTTGACGAATTTCCTAAGTTTAGTAATCGGGAATTTTTTTTGGAAATTTGGAACAAATTAAAAATTTTAACATTAATGTCTATGGCGGATCTCATTTCGGTTAACGAACCCCCCTGTTACTGAACCAGTTTGTGGAACGAATTAAGTTTGTTAACCAGGGGACGACTGTAACAATGAAGTGTGTTATCTTTACCTAGAGTTTTAAAAAAGACATCGGCAGTTGAAATTATCCGGTGAAAAACAAAAGTTGACTTTTTTTCTAATACAGGAACACTTCACAATTTCACCTGCTCAGGGAAATTATTTCAATTTTTCATTCTGAGAAACCTTTCGTCAAGCCCACCTGTCTAATTTTTTCAAGACAATCTACAAATTTTTTTTGTGAAAAAAAGAAACTTCTAGATACCTGTCATAATGCCTTTCAAGCAAAACTTTTTTGAATCTTCAAACATTTTATGAAACTTTACAAAAATTTGCAAGTCCGAGGGGCTTAAAAGGTTGGGGAACACTGTTCTACGCCACGGTCGAGAAGTTCCAGCAGCAAAAAAGCCAGTCAAACGCGTAATTGAAACGTGAAAAATACAGGTAAATAGAAAGGCGACCGCAGTTTCCTCTCCGAAGACATTCACCGCCACACACGGAAATGGGAGGAAATTTCACAGGGATCGCGACGAACGATGGACCGCAAAAACATAGAGGAACAAAAAATGCAAGCCCCAGAATGTAATTCACACACGAATGAAAGAAAGTCAAGGAAAAAGGGGACAATTGAAAGAAAAAAGAACGAGCGGCAAGAACTTCTCCAGTGCTTCTCACCCCATCAGCCCGTCAGGTTATTTTTGGATGAGGCCCTCTGATCACGCGATACCCACCAGGTAGTTTCACACAGTAACGAATTGCCACGACCAGATGGAATCCACGGAACCATCTGCATGGTGACATCGCAGGTGGAATGGTAATGCAGTACAGTACAGTTGTCAAAAAAAAAGAAGAGGAAATAGGCAAAAATAATGCAGAATCAGCCCAGGTGTTTAGGCTGTGAGTTCTGGAAAATATCCTGTTTGTTGGCAACAGCGTAAAAGCAGGTCCCAACCAAAAGAAAAAAAAAAGTTTCTGTGATGAGAATGCCACATGCCTCACACTTCAGAACTGCCGCTGAAAAGGGATCCGTGATTTTCCCGATGAAAGGTGGTTATCCTGGAATCACTGTACTGTACGATACTTGTACAACTGAAAACCCCTACTGACATCTGTTCTACCATCACTGTCCCGGGAATGATTTCCAAACACGAAAATCTTCAATGGTTGTTCTATGCGTATCAAGTGACAGTATTCCTGCGCCCCCATGCCAAGTGGTCCATCCAATCAATTCTGGATTTATTCCGACTCGGCCGATTTGCCATGAGATGATTCTCGTTGGAGAAAAAAAATAAATAAAATGCAACATTGACCCAATGTCCGATTCAAGCGGACTTTTTCTGGCGACTTTGTTTCTAATGTCGGCACGCAGGAGCACAGTAGGAAATATACCTTGGAACCATTTAAATCTCGTGAATGGATCAGTAATAATTGCAGGTCACCTGAATTTTCATCTCATCCTGCTCGAAAGGAAAAATGGAGGAGATCTGGGCAAGCATTGGACACTGGATTTTTGCTA